AGTAAGATTCTTACTGTATCTACATGTCCCTGATTACTTGCCCAGTGTAGAGCTGTCCAACCATCCTACAATGTAATTACACATGCATCAGTTACACACATTTATATCATGCATCTGTCATACAAATAGGAATACCATCTCAATACAAATACAGCAATATATTTAAATTACCTGGTCTCGGGCATCCTTGTCAACTGATGCATCTAGTAAGATTCTTACTGTATCTACATGCCCATTATTACTTGCATGGTGTAGAGCTGTCCAACCATCCTACATTGTAATTACACATGCATCAGTTATACACATTTATATCATGTACATGTCATACAAATAGGAATACCATCTCAATACAAATACAGCAATATATTTAAATTACCTGGTCTTGGGCATCCTTGTCAACTGATGCATCTAGTAAGATTCTTACTGTATCTACATGCCCATTATTACTTGCATGGTGTAGAGCTGTCCAACCATCCTACAATGTAATTACACATGCATCAGTTATACACATTTATATCATGTACCTGTCAAACAAATAGGAATACAGCAATATATTTAAATTACCTTGTCTTGGGCATCCTTGTCAACTGATGCATCTAGTAAGATTCTTACTATATCTACATGTACCTGATTACTTGCATGGTGTAGAGCTGTCCAACCATTCTACAATGTAATTACACATGCATCAGTTATACACATTTATATCATGTACATTTGATTGGTGTAGAAAGTCCAGGCAGATAAAAAAAATGTTACCCACATAGTTGTATTATGTGGAGGCCAGAAATAAGCACATTACATAATCCCACAAAAGCAGACTTTTTAACAAGGATTGTAAAAAGAAATACAGAGAATTATTTTCAGAGGGAACTAAAATAGATTTATCAAATAATAAACTGGTAGTACTGGTACTCTTGTAGTGAAACAGTGTTATTGAGGTCATTAATTATATTTGAGGTTTTGTATTTCAAAAGAATGAAGAAGCAAATAACGACCACCACCATTCATGCATTACATATAAAGTAACACTGCGAGATTTAATGTGCATTCTTGAAAAGTTTATACATTTGTTCAGCAAATAGATTGCAACATATCTTGAAATAAATTCTACAAATCACCATATAAACAACCCCTTGAAATGGTCAGAAATGACTACTTTCAGTGTTCAGCAATGTTTGCGAATGGAATGCTAAAAATAATGAGTACCTGGTCAATTAAGCTTTTGTTTATTCCTTGACTAAGTAGCAAATTTATAACATTGACAGATCCAGCTTCAACAGCAACATGCAGTGCAGACCTACCATCCTAAAAACATAATGTGTGGGTTCCAATAATACTATTGTTAAAAGCAATTTATTATTATTGGTATCAATTTGGAAATTCAGTTGATGGAAAGAAATATTACAATATGCTAATAACTATAGGCAACGTAACTTGGTTGAATTGGTTGTTGGTGAATAATATGTCAAATTATTGCAATGACTAGTTTTCAGAAACTTTCTAAAACACACTCCAATCATACTGATGTTCAGACATGTACAATACAACTGGAGACAATATAAAGTGTTCATTTCATGTACAAAAAAGAAAAAAAAAATCACATTTATTGTGGGTTTTATTTAGGCAAAATATATGGAAAGAAGGGAATCTACAATATAGATATATCTTCACCAAATTCTAAATCAATTAATATAAAACTATAAATTTCTGGAGACAAAATATAAAAAGAAAATTCAAAGTTTGAACCTTAACTGCCATCAAAAACCAAACAAAGAATTACACTTTTTACTATTTTGCCTGACAAAATATCCTTTCAGATATTGCATTCCCTGCTAAAAATCATCAATTCATTCAAGAAAAACCATTGGAAATTTTGTAAACAGATGCATCACAACACAAAATGAAATTGTACAATTTCACTTTTGATGCACTTGCATTACTTTTTTTAGTTTGAATTACCTAGTAAACAAAACATTATTGCTAACAACTAATAGAAATGTTCTTTTCCTACTAAATATGTAAAAACATTTTAAATTATTACTTGTATGCGAGGACTTGCAGGAATATGCTGCATGGCCTTTCTTGTACATTGTAGACTAGAAAATGCTCACTCATGATCACCAATGCAGAAGTACTAGACTGTTTGTGCCAGCATAAACGGTGATTGACTCTGCCTTGTCGTTCTTTGAAATGCATGAAATAAGCAAGTAATGGCCAGAGAGCAGACAGACCAGGAAAAGAAACAGTCATAAAGAAACTCACAAATCCATATAATGGCAAATACACCTTTGTCTGTCAGTCAGACCACACCATCATTTCATGCCAGGACAAATTCATCAAAATCCAAAAAAACTATAACTGCCTGCTCTTCAAACTGCATGTTCCACTACACACAGCAGTGGAACTTTGAACTTTGTACTTCGTACTTCAGTCTCAGTCTCATGGCTATTAAATACAGTCAAGACAAAATCCAAACATTTTCATCCACCAATCACAGGTACAAATAGCCAGGTGGGACAGGCATCCACCAATCACATGCATGAACCCTGAAGTGAGTGTAGACAAAACACTGCATATCCAGATGTCATTGCTCTGAGTTGCAAGCACAAATATGTGAATAACACATAACTTTGAATAATTTGAGGGATGGTGAATAAAGTAGCCCATCTGAAGTTCCAATTTTTCCTGTTTATAATAATATGCACAAATCTAATCCTTTGACCTAGATTTGACTGGGACTGAATATTTTATTGTCTGCAATATTATGACTTAATGTAGTGTCTCAAAAGTACAGTATGATTGTCTGGTTTGTAGAGTACATCAGTGCAATTTATTTCCAGCAACTTAGGGATGGACCATTACAAACTTTACAATCGAAAGGTATGGCATGGTCACTGTGCAGGATATTTAGTCCTAGCAACTTAGGGATGGACCATTAAAAAGTCTAAGGGAGCTATGGCATGGTCACTGTGCAGGATATTTAGTTCTAGCAACTTAGGAATGAACCATTACAAAGTCTAGGGGAGCTATGGTATAGTCACTGTGCAGGATATTTAGTCCTAGCAACTTAGGAATAAACCATTACAAAGACTAAGGGACCTATGGTATAGTCACTGTGCAGGATATTTAGTTCTAGCA